CAGTAAATGTGACAGTCACAAGTGAGGGGGGGGGGGGTCTCCTCCTATTTAATTACAATAGCTTCCCATGGGAGCGGATTGGCTGGAGACAAAATCATGCATGTATATCGGGCTGGGCTGGGCTGGGCTAGCTCCTATCATCAATAATACATCTTCATCATCAATTAATCTACTTTCTGACAACCAAAAGTTCATTATTTGCAAATTCTTAGGCTTTTTATTGTAGATGTTCCATGGTCATTGTCAACTCGTTTATGGAATAATCGTTCAACATGTTTGAAGATGAACAAATAGCAGAGTACACTGTACAAAACCTTGTACATATTTATATTCTGTATGTATTTATACTGTATATATTTATATTTGTATTCCTTCCACCAAACTGAGTACAAATACAAATGTATAAAGTGCAAAATCTTGTATTTTATATTATTTTGTATATAATTGCACTGTACATATTTGTATTTATACTCCTTCCAAATAAGTACAAATAAGAAGGGTGCAAAACCTTGTATCTACACTGTACATATTTATATTTATATTCTTCCCAAACTGAGCCTAAAAACAAATAGACAAATGCTTTGTTTAATTCAATCCAAAACCTAGCCCAGGTATTTTAGGGTTCTTAGCCAATATAAAAATATTAAATAAAAAAAAAAAACATGTTATCAGGAGTGCAACTCGGGTTGGCTTGCATTTTGCATTGAATTGGGCTTAGGCCCTTTAGTTGGGGCCATTAAGATTTTGACAAAAGCCCAACCTGAGCGGCTGAGCCGCCCAAGTTGCACCCCTATATGGCTATATGTTAACGTTTACCTTGCACTGGGGCTAGGCTCTTTTGGAGTTGGCCTTGGGTAGGAAACTTGGAATAAATCTAATTTTGACAAAAGCCCAACTGAGCCCGCTGCCCACCCATGTTGCAACCCTAACTGTCAGGATTTACCTTGGGCTAAAACTGGGCTGATTACTTTTGAGCTTGATGTTGGGTTGGGTTAGGCCTCATACTAAGGACCTTTGCCTTAGGACTGGTCCTGGGTTGAGCCTTAGACCAACATAACTTGCCCGAGTTGCACGTGCACCCTAGTTATAGCATTTCCTTGTCACCTCCATTCAAATATGAACCGACAGCCTTTTTGTTAAAATTCAAAATTTTACATGATCAGCTTTTTTAATTTTCAATCCCCGTATTGCTATATTTAATTGGGTGGTCACAAGGAAGTGCTGCGGCCATACTTGCAGCAGATGTGATCATGTGAAAGCCATTGAATTTATTCTCACATCAGGGAATGTTTCAACATTGCAAAGCTGATCAATCGACTCGTCATATGTATGGATGATCTCTTGATCATCAAAGGTCCATTAAACCGTACTAGACAAGCACCTGCTTTTCCTCTCTTGCTGGTCGATAGAAATTGATGCAACACGATCCAGACACTTTTACCTGGTGGAAATCTGGCTCCTAGATGGCGATAGACGAGACCTGAGAAGAAGAGGGAGGTGAAGAATTTTTGGGGAACTTGTCTGGCGGGAATACTTCGATGCTTAAATTAGAATTCTGAGGGAACTATAGAGAATGCAAAGAGAGAGCTAAGAGTGCAGATGGCGTAAGTTCAGTACCTTTGCTCCTTGGGGATCAAGGTCATTTTATATTGGAGTTCTATCAAATCAGGTGTAACTGTCTCTGCCAAGTCAGGCTGCCAAGGACTCGGCTTGTACAACCCATACCGATCTGAGGGCAGCTCGTGACCAAATCCATCAGTTGGAGAGCGATGCTTCAGCTTAGAAGAACGTCATCGAAGCACTGATGGCGGAGAAAGAAGAGTTGGCACACGAGAGGGACGGGCTAAGGAGCGAGGTGAACGCCCTCAAGGCAGACAAGGGGACCTTAGAGCATGAGGTGGAGTTCCTCAAGGCTGATATTGAGGAGAAAACCGAGATCTTCACCCAGGCCATAGAGGAGATGAAGGTCAAGGTCATTATGGACTATGTCAAGTCAGACAGGTTCAATGCCGTGCTGGGGGAGGCCTATCGTAAGGGCTTCAAGCTTAGCAGGTGGTTGATAAGGCACACTTACTCCGAGCTCGATACAAGTACCATCACCACTTCACGGATCATGAATGACATAGCCCGTCAAACTACGGAAGATCCAGATTCCGAAGAGGAGGGTGGCGACGAAGAGGTAGATGTCACCGACCTGGCTGAAGCTCCCGAGGAGGTCCCGAGTAGAAACAACGAGCCCCCAAAATAGCTGTCCTTGTACTATGAGCCTGCAAACTTAGCTTTAGTTTCCTCTTCTCTCTTTTTTTTTTATATATCGAGGTCATTGTATAGAACTCTCCATCAATGAAATTTGTTTTTGCCAACCAAGTGTTGTCACTTTATTCTTTTGCCGAAATGATTGCTTTATCCGAGCTATTAGAGTTAAGTGCCCGAAGTAGGGTTTCTCAACTGTCATCACCCCGAACTGTCTCCCAGTACTTTGTAGGGGTGATTTTTATAACGTACACCAAGGTGATCGACATAGTAAGGCATATGCCCGACCTATCTAATCCTAGGTTATTTGAATTGATAGTTGTCCCTAGTGGGTCCAACCTGTTGTATACCGAGCTGCTTGCGTCCTTGGCATACTAAGCCTATGCCAATGAGGCGGTTAGGTCATATATAGTGTCGAGTCCCTTAGTTAGCTCGGCATTTTAGCTCTTAGGTTGGGGGAGTGACTTATAATCACACTCTCCTATAGTCTGCCCATGCCGAAGAGGCAACTGGGTCTTATAGTGCCGAGGTCTTTTTGTTAGTTCGACATTTTGGCCCTTAGGCTCAGAGAGCAACTTGTAGTCCACTCAGTTCGGTAATTTATAGGTAATATTGCTTTAAGTTGACAATATACCTTGCCCGAGGTACTTGTTTCCGTTCTAGGGTTTTGAACTCATACGTTCCTTCCTTGCGCACCCTCTTTACTCGGTAGGGTCCTTCCCAATTTGGCCCGAGCTTACCAACACCGGGCCCAGGCACCATAACTTTACGAAGGACCAGGTCTCCGACGCGGAGATTCTGCTTTTTGACCCTAGCGTTATAGTACCAAGCTACTCTCTGCTGGTAGGCCGCGATCCTTATGTACGCGAGGTCCCATACCTCGTCAAGTAGGTCGAGGTTGGTGTGTAGCTCGTCTTCGTTTGCTTTGTCGTCGTGCGCTTCTAGACGTAGCGTGGGAACCTCGATCTCAGCTGGGATAACTACCTCGGTGCCATAAGTGAGGTTGAAGGGAGTCTCTCCTGTAGCGGTCTTCACCGTGGTCCGATAAGCCCATAGAACATTGGGTAGCTCGTTTGCCCATAGTCCTTTAGCTCGGTCCAGACGTGCCTTCAGTCCGCGGAGGATGGCTCTGTTCGTGACTTTCGCTTGGCCGTTTGCTTGAGGGTGTGCTACCGAGGTAAAGTTTTGCTATATCCCCATCTTTTTGCACCAGTTTTGGAATTTGATGTCCTCGAACTACTTACCATTGTCAGAGATCAGTACTCGGGGTAGTCCAAAACGACATACTATACTCTTCTAGAAGAACTTTTGCACATTCTGAGTTGTAATCATCGCGAGAGGTTCAGCCTCAACCCACTTTGTAAAATAGTCGACTGCCACCACTAAGAACCTTCTCTGCCCTGTTGCTGGTGGGAATGGTCTGAGTATGTCGATCCCCCACTGTGCGAAGGGCCACGGACTGGTAAGATATTTTAGGTCGGCGGCAGGCTGGTGGTGGATTTTGGTGTGCTTCTGACAGGGAGGGTTCTATGTAGCATTACGATATTTGGCTGGAGGAAGCCATGGATGCTGAGTTCTGAGAGTTGTAGAGATTGGAGAAAGGCTTTTTGAAGCATTCCCACAGACGGTGCCAAATGATGCAGCGCGATCCAGACACTCCTAGCTGGCGGAAACCTGGCTCCTAGCTGGCGACGGACGGGACTTGAGAAGAAGAGGGAGGTGAAGAATTCCCAAGGAACTTGCCCGACGGGAACATTCCGATGCTTAAGTTAGAACTCTGAGGGAACTGTAGAGAATGCAAAGAGAGAGCTAAGAGTGCAGATGGTGCTAGTTCAATACCTTTGCTCCTTAGGGATCGGGGTCCTTTTATATTGGAGTTCTGTCAACTCAGGTGTAACCGCCTCTGCCGCAGCCGTTACGGCCAGAGCTGAGGTGGCGGGTGCAGGCAGCCGTTGCAAGGTACGGACCTGTCAGGCATGCCATATCTTTCAGAAATGGCAGGCACGACGCCGCCTGATGAGGGACGTGGGCGCAGCCTCCAGATTCGGCAGGTACTGTTGTCAAGCATATCTTTCCTGCAGGTTGCCGAGCTACTTTGCACCGAGCTACCTTACACCGAGGTGCTGGGGGTGCACCGATGTGCTTATGCTTGAGGCGGGCCTTAGGCAAGTATGGACAAGAGTGTTAATGGTGCTGACCCGAAGTGTTTCCACTTCGGGATACTTAGTCATAGGTCAGGGTGTTCCCTTCTTAGGAAGAGCTCGAGGCTCAATGGGAGGAGCTCGGGTCTTAAGAGGAGCTCGGGTCCCCTCGCTGAGGGGGGAGCTCGGTTCGCTCCACCCTTGGAGAGAATTCGGGGTGAACTGGATGTTATTTCCCAACGAGTTGCCTCGTCTGTCGAGCTATCCGGCCGGGCTCCGACGAGTTCGTTATGCCGAATTATGGCCAGGCTGTCACGCTGAGTTGTCACTTATGCCAGGTCATATCCACGTGTCCCCATGCTACGAGGTCGGGCCAAATCACCCTCCATCAGAAATCTTTGATAAATTTAAGTTCAAGCCTCAAATCTTAGCTATTCAATAACTATACGAGAAATTATTGAAATGGAAAATTCATTATTGCAAAGCAAAAATGGAAAAGAATGTCAACTTTATAGCAGCATGTTATATATATAGAAAAATAATAATAGACGAAGAAGGACAATAAGATTCATTTCTGAAGAAATAGTCATGGCAGACCGTAAGTACTATCGCCCTTCCATTGTCGAAACTGTAACATTGTTTGTTGAACAAATTCTGGTCTTGCTCATATCAGAGTTTATTACTGCCAAACTTCCACCATTACAGAAAGCAGGTTGCTTAGGTGAAGGTAGAACTGCAAGTTCATTGCTAAGCATCAAGACAACATCAGACATGGTTGGTCTGTCTGTTGCACTTTCTTCCACACACAGTAAGGCGACGTTGATGTATCTCAATGATACAGACATGGACGTCAGATCACCCAAAATTGGATCCATCAATTCCAACCCCTTGTCACTTTTCCACAACTCCCATGCCTGAAACAATTTGGCCTCACAGTTAGAAAAGAGAAGTTTGAAAAAGGAAGATTGTGTATACTGTTGCAGAAACGAAAGATTGGAGGCTGATTGGTCACACTTACATATCCAATAAGATTGACAGAGTCAGGACTATAAAAACCAGTGTTCCTCTTGCCTGTCAGAATCTCTAGCATCAAAACTCCGAAGCTGAAGACATCAGATTTTGTAGAGAAAAGGCCTTGAATGGCATATTCAGGGGACATGTAGCCACTGCATTAAATCATTCAACCAATCTTTTGAGTCTATGTATCAGACTTCAGCAGACACACTGCCAACGTGTGGCATATTAAATTTACAGGATTGCTAGTAGAGATTATTTTACTCACTAAGTTCCTACTATCCGATTTGTATTTGCTTGTGACTCATTCCCTCCAAAAATCCTTGCCATGCCAAAATCTGAAATTTTGGGAGTCATGTCACTATCCAACAGGATGTTGCTGGCTTTCAGATCTCTATGGATAATTCGTAGTCTAGAATACTGATGGAGATAAAGCAGCCCCTGACCAATTCCTTCAATGATGTGGGCACGTTTCCTCAAATCTAATAGCCAACGTTTGGTTGGATCTGTCTCAATTTTATATTTCAATGCATATGAGTACGAGTAGAGAGACTAATAAACAATCGTTAATGACAGTTGAAGGAAATGGATGATGCAAGTTGACTTCATGGTTCGAAAATAGCATAAGAAATAATAGCCAATGAGCGGACAAATCTACAATTACAAACATGAATGACAAATCAGAAAGTATGTAGTAAGATTACGAACCAAACAGGAAGAAATCCAAGCTTTTGTTTGCCATGTACTCATAGATCAATATCTTTTCATCTCTCTCGATGCAGCATCCGAGGAGTCTAACAAGATTTCTGTGTTGGAGTTTAGCAATAAGTATAGTCTCATTTTTTAATTCCTCCAACCCTTGTCCAGATCTTCTGGAAAGCCTTTTCACTGCTATCTCCTGTCCCTTTAATAATTTGCCCTGAAAATATATAACAGTGTCTTAATTGACATTGCTGATTTACTAATGCTTTAGAAAAGATTCTAACCAAGTCTTTGATTGAAATGCATTTCTAGAAGTCTTGGTTATTTCGTTATATCTAATTAACATGTTCACATTACCAATAATGGAATATTTCGTGTGTATGAGTATGACAGAGTCCTCTTTTAAAACAAATGGTGGTCAAGATGTGAAGTCTTTCCTACCTTGTAAACAGGACCGAAACCACCCTCTCCTAGCTTGTTTGCAGCAGAGAAGTTATTTGTGGCAGCTGATACACTTGTAAAACTGAATAGTGGCAGTTGGACGTCCTCGCTCCCACGTTTTCCCAAGCTAACCTCCTTAGAGTGTTCACCAGAAGCGCCAATGCTACTACCGAAATCAAATAGTAACAAATCCTGGCTTGTTGGCCACTTTTCTGTTGATGGACAACACAGAAATATCTTCAATTCTTCATCGAGAACATCTGATTTATCCTGCATAAATATGCCCAAATTTAATATTCTACTCACCCTACCTTTCCCTTGGAGTTTTCTTCTCCATCGGTAACACAAGTAGGAGACCAAGAGAAGAACTGCCGTTGCTAACCCTGCTACAATTGCCCCCAACCTGATCTTGTTTCCTGAATTTGAAAACAAACTGTTTGTTAGTTGTCTATTTTCTGTCTTCAGGTTTTGGCAAATCCCTATCCCTAGACATTACCAATTAACGAGCCATCTGGGTCTGATTTACTTGCATGTTTTGGAAACTCGGAAGCTGCAAGCCTGAGAAAGAGCACTTCTCCACCAGCGTCTTCCTCTGATAGTTGTTCCACAGTGGACAGATTCCCATACCATAGCGAACAATTGCCATTGGAGTATGTGTATGCAGTGCAGGAACAGTTGTTCAAGCAAACCGATTCGCATTCCTTAGCAATCCCGGGTGCCCGGTATTGTTGGTCCATAGGCAACCTCACGTTGTACACCTGCAGAAACCTGTCTTGATCCAAATTTTGTGGAGCTGTATCACTCTCACATCTTAAAGGCTTTGTCCGCACGCACCCAGAAGACCAATCTGAGTGGTTCCAATCTTTTAAAGATCGTGGTTCGAAACCTTTTAGACACCCACAGAAGGGGAGGGAATTGTCTTGACAGACGCCAAATGGCCCACACTGATTAAAAACATCACACTGCCATCTGGGAGCCCTCCAGAACAAGTACCACTGTTGTGCGCCTTCCAACCACGAATACTGCTTGATCTGCCCTGATAGATCCATCACAAGTCTAGACAAAATTGATGAATTATAAAGAGAGTAAGTGAAATAGCTTTCCTCTGCACTATCATAAAAGCTGAAATTGAATATATAGTCTAATCTCATTTCAGGAACCAAGGAGAAAATACGTCCATTCCATGGTCCGCTAGTCCAATACTTGATAGCGTTCTCCTTCATGATGAAAAACTGGCTTGTTCCAGCAGGATCAAGTACCAGATTGAAGCCTCCAGGGGCAGGGTCTGCTAATGAGCGCCAAGAAGTTAACGACCAGTTCTGCCCGGTCTTTTTGTTGTACCCCATTTTCATTCCAGGAAGAAACGTATGACATGGATAATCGAAGCTCTGCCACCAGATATCCGAGTTATTGTCTCTCAAGACAAGATTACCTGAATCCAACAGCGTAGCAGCACTAGTCTTCCCAGGGCTTGACCTGGAAGCCAGCGCGATAGATAGCCTCCCCTCCACGATGATTAGATTACCGTCGTTGTTGATAGTGAGAAAGCTAGATGAACTGCTGACTGGGTTCTCTCGGTTAGCAACCCACACTACCGTCTTAAATGAAACTTTCTTGTACCATATCCCTACGTAGTAACTGTTGGAGTCTGGAGGGGAGAAGAACCCTAGTTCAAAGTTCCCGCCGGCAGAGACTATTGTTTTCGAACCATTGATCCATTGGCCAGGTTTTATGGTGTCAGTTGCATTGGAGAATGGATAGTGAAGCCAGGGCAAATACAGCAGAGGAACAAGAAGGGAAAATGACCTCATCGTGTGTAAGGAGTTGCAAAATTCAGCTAGCGAGCGAGCGAGCGACAGAGAGAGGGACAAAGAGAGAGAGAGAGGAGTCGATGTCGAACATCTATACAATAACCATTCAAACACGCTGCCCCGGCAGAGTGGCGACCACGACCAGTGACCTCTAGAACTTATACGGGTCTAGATGCAGATCACTTTAGCTGTTTGGAAAACATTTCTTGGGAGCCTCTACACATAATTTAGGTCCTTATTTGTCATTTCAACTAAAAAATGTATTGGTGTACATAGCAGGTTCTCTTTACAAATAGCCGGTTTTTTTTAGTGTAAATAAACAATGTGCATGTTTGATTCATGTTGTATGGTATGGTTCTGTGTAAGACCCTAAAACTGGACACTTATAGAGGCTCGTGTTAGTTTTAAATATTCACAGCCGTTGGATAAGTCTGGGGAGATTTATCCTGCTAAGGCTGATACTGGTGTGCTTTCAAGTGTTGGGGTAGCCTGCCTCGGCCATTTGGGTAAGACCCTAGGCACATGCAATATATGATCACTTGAACCCTTGAACCGGACCAGATTTCCAGTTTTACCCTGGACCTTGGAGATTGATGGGCAAAACTGAAAAGTTACACCTGACCCCTAGACCTGATTATGGTACTACATCAGGTGTAGGATTGGGCTACCTTTGATATGCCAATCAGTGAGATCCTTGGGAAGGGTCAAAACCTGGGTATGTTGGGGCAGTTTGAGAATTCATCTGAGTGAGTAATCATAGTGACGGGATCAGCCCCTTTGTCGGACAAAGGTAATGATCGGGATGCACTCTCTCTGATGGAAACCAAACTACCAGCAGTTGTTTTCAATCGTTGGAATTTGTTTTTGCAAAATTTATATATAGATATGTATGGTTTCAAAAATATTTGCAAATGGTTTTAATTCCCGGGGTCCATGTGAGTAGAGAGTGCAGCACTGTTCTTTACAGTCGAGAGAGAGGTCCTCTCTTGTCGGGCAGTGCTTAATCATTATGGGCTGAGAGGTTAAGTGTAAAGCCACATAGGATAATACCTGATGGGTTAATCTTGCACCTGCCCACAATCCCTGGGTTTTTATAAGATGGYTTGGCCCAGGGACCACTTGATCTAAGTGTTGGGCCCATAGGGTCCACGTGATGGGCTCAAGGGGTTCACTGGGCTTTCCAGTGAATTCGGCTAGGCCTTATAACAAAGGCAGGGCCGAACCCATGTGGCTGGTGTGTAGATCAATGTTTGGGTCCCACGCCATACAGAGAAGCCCAACTAGGCAGCAGGTTGGAAGACTTTTTTAGCACATAACCTTATTGGGCCTAAATTCCATTTTGAACTGGGCTGATTTGATCAGTCATTATTAGGGGGCGGATCTGAGATTAGATTGAGCCCAAAAAGCTTATCTAATCTACAGATAGGATTAAGAAGAGTTCCAATCCAAATACATATTTGGATAAGGAGGAACTTCTAATATGATTAGGAAATCTTTTCTTGATCATGAAGCAACTGGGAGAAGCCCTATTCGAATGATATATGGATTCGAACCCTAGGAGAGAAGGACACTCTCTCTCTGCAGTTTGTGAGATAGGATCTCAAAAACCCTAGAGAAAAGAAAAGCAGTCCGCCTTCTCTTTTCCCTTTCTCCCTCTTGTTGCAGCCGCCATCCACCTAAACAGTTCGTTTTCTCTGTGAGAGGAAGATCAAGAAGAGTTCTTGATATCAGTCTTTTCGTTTTGGTGCTCATTGTCATCCAAAGGATTCTTGTGAAGGATTCAGTGTGTAGGATGCCCCCTGCTGGTTCTGCTCCATAGTTGTTGTGTCATCTTCAGTAGGAGCAAATCTTGGTTCCTTCTTTGGGCGTGAACACCAACTTTGGGAGATACTGCTTCTCTGGATCAGGTATAATCTCTCCCTTCTCTTTGTTTTCAGATCTGGTTCAGTTATGGTTCAAGTAGGATCCTTGAATTTTAATTCTAAAATTAGGGAATATGATTCCCAATTGGAAGAAAGGAGGGAAATTTTTGAAATTTGCCCTACCCTATTTCGCAATCTTTGGCGTCCATACGATGGATCCCACCATTCTTTCAATGGTATCAGAGCCAGGTTCGAATCTTGAACCATAAAGATCAGATCTGAACCTGCACAATACGGTAGAAGTTGTTCTATCCAGGTATTGCGCAATTTGCAGTTTTGCTTCAAGAAACCATTTCTTGATGAGGGTGATTGATCTGAAATTAATTTTATTAAATCTGAAATTTATTTAGAACTGTTCTTTATTTATTTTGATTTAATGGACTGTTTGAACCTGGAGATCGAAGTGCACAGGCGCAAATGGTCTGCGCAATCTTCTTTTTATTTTATTCAATTCGGTTTGTAAAATAATTTTTTTTATTTTATCTTTCTAGACTGAATGTATAGGATTTGATCAAGAATGTAATTAATTAATAGAAATAGGATTTCTGTTCTTTTTATTTTTCTTGATTGAAGAAAAGAAGGCGGCGGCGCTGGGAAATCGCAGATGAAGGGATCGCCTTCTGCGTTTTGCAGTTTGTGAAACTGCAACCCTAGTGACTAACTTCTATTTTGCAGGTGGTGCGAATAGTCCATATCTGTTTTTATTTTGTCTAAAATCAAAATCGTTAATTTCAGATCCTTTCTTGAATTAATTCTTAAATTGAAAGTCAGTTTCGGATCATCCCGAACCAGATTGGACCAAAACTGTTTGGGCCAAATCTGGTGTTCAAATGGGACTGTTTTTCAGTCCAGATTTCTCACATTTTAGATCCAAATCTGATGTTCAATTGTGAGGATTAATTCGGCCCAACCTGTCAAGCCCAGTTTTAAAGTGTTAAAACTGCAAAAGTCCATTTTGTGAGAAAAGCTATATGGCCCGAACTGCTAACTGCGATTCAGCCCATATACCTAGACAACATTAATTGTTAATGTTATGGTTTTAAATGGGCTGTTTAATGGGCTTTACAGCAAGTAATTGATTAGATCAATTCTCCCTTTTTATGTGATGTGTGGATGTATGATGTGCTACGACCATGGGCCATAAGCACTTGGCCCATGATGAATCATTAGTGGCTCTTGCGCACACCATGGCTGAATGCATATCATTGCCATGGTGTCCCCTAAGATCATTGGATGACCCCTTCCTAGCATGGTGGGCCCCACAACCCTGAAAAGGGACACATGCGGAAACCCTGGCCGATTAAGGCCCACCAGAAATCTAACTTTATGAAAGTCAGTGGGAGCCACTCTGGTTTGACCTAAATTAACTAGGGCGTAATTTTGTTACCTCCAGCAAATATGAGTGCATGTGATAGGGAGATCCATATGATGGACTCTCTAAAGGCCTTCCATCATTAGCACAATGATGGATTCTTCAGTAATGAGGAAATGCACGATAAAATTGGGCTATCCATTTGCTGTTGGATTTGTTAGAGTGTTTCATGAGATGATAGGGGCGTCATAGACCGATGTGGGAGGGGCTTCACCAGAAAATGGGAACTCTCTCACGGTACCTTAGCGTAACCTGAATATGATGGGTAAGCACTCACTGGACAGAAAGTTTTACCTGAAATAGCTCTGAACCTTGTCTGACAGAGGCCAAAGGGAAACTCATACGATGAGTGGGTATGATCCGTCGCAAAAAGGTGGTGGGGTTATGCAGCTGAAACAGTTGGCTCCACGCACCCTATGTGATTTCCCACATTTCTAAAGACAATTCGCTGTCTCCGCCTCTGAGACAGGAGGGAAATCTTAGGGATGAATAAATGGAAATGGAACATAGGTTAAAAACCGTATCTATATAGGTAACATGAATCAAACTAAGGTTGTGGACTAACGTTTTGTTGTTTTATCAGAAAATGGAAAACAATCAATTTGCCAAGTTGCTTGACGACAATAAGCTTAAGGGACCCAATTATGCTGACTGGTACAAAAACCATATGCTGGTCCTCACTTCATAAGAACTAGATAAGGTGGCTAAAAATCTTGCCCTGGATCGCCCCGGGGACAGGGCTTCTGAGGCCCGAAGGAGAGAATACCAAGAATGGGAGGATAAAAACTCCCTAGCCCACTGCTACATCATAGCCTCTTTGGGCAATCCGATACAGAGGCAGTTCGATCAGATCAAACTCGCTAAAGACATATTGGATAGTTTGAAAACTATGTACGAAGAGCAAAATCGTTCTACTCGACAAAAGGTCCTGAAATGGTTCATGACCGTGTAGATGACTAAGGGGCAGCAAGTTCATGACCATTGTCTCCGGATGATGGGTTACATAAACGAGCTGGAGGCCCTTGGTTCCGGGATAGATCTAGTCACACAGAACGATGCTATTCTCAACTCTCTGCCTCCGTCCTTCAACCCGTTCATTATGAATTATAATATGAACAAGCTGAATGTCAGCGTCCAAGAGCTCAACAATATGTTGCAAAGAGCCATGCTTGTTGAAGCTGGCAAATCTGGCAAGAAAAGGAAGGCAAAGAGAAAGCCCCAGAAGAAAGCCACCAAATCTAAGAAACAAAAGAAAGACAAGGCATCCGATGCCTGTCACTTCTGCAAGCAGGCCAGCCACTGGAAGAGGAACTGTCCTGCCTACCTGGAATCTAAGAAAGGTAATCTCAAAACTTGTGTCATAGAACTAGCAAAGAAGCAGCGGAGATGTCGTAGAGCTCGCTGAGCTCCAACCCAGAACTTGCACGAACTCCTCAAATGGAAGGAAGAAGTGAGCTTGGGAGCAGTAAAAGCCACTTCACTCCTCTCTGTGCCATCTCCCCTGTCTCCCAAACTCTTGGTCGTCCCGATGCCGAAGGACTTCAAGGTACCTCCCCTGGACAAGTATGATGGATCATTCGACCCGAATGATCACGTCGATGCCTTTCAGTCACAGATGCACTTAGCCGGGGCAAGTAAGTCCGGCATGTGCATAGCTTTCTCCACTACATTCAAGGGAGTAGCTCGCACGTGGTACAAGAACCTCA